CATTGATTTCAGTCATGTATGCAAAGAAATCATGGTTCGTGGCATGTGCACTTGAATTCTTTATATAAAATGAAGCAAGAGCTGCACACATGTTGTTTGCTGTACTCTGAGAACTTTTAAGGACTTTTCTACCATTTATTTTGAAAGAGGAAACTTATTTTTGGTTGTTCCTGTGAATGTGTGTCACTTCAGGTGTCACATTTTCATCTTAACAGAAAATGTGTCTCTCCCAGTGTGTGTGTGTGTATGTGTGAGGGCCTCTCTGTGCACCCTGAATCTATATGTATGAATTTGTGTGTTTCTGTGTGCATGGACCTGAGAGTGAAGGTTAGGTAAGGCGTTTCTGAAGTGTTCTTTTCCCTATTTGGCCATTTTCAAATATCATTGTTTGAACATTCCTGAAATGAAGTGCCAAATCACCCTAAGGACAAGATTAAACTTATGATAGCTGGACAGATCTATAGTTACATAACCTTTTCACACGCTGTTTGTCATTATTGATGATAAATTTAGAACCTGCTCCTTCCTCGTCTGTGATTTACACGACAGAAGATGAGAAAATCAACATACCACCATGACTCGGAAGTTGGCCAGAGTCTCATTGCTCTGGCTGAGGAAGCACTCCTTGAACTCCTCTACAGCTGCTTCGGTTTGCTCAGTGTCGATGAACCTCTGAAGATCTGCTTTGTATTCCTCCACAGAAACCGATGGATCGATGGTCTTTTCCACGACGCTCTCCAGAAGAACGCAACCAGAACCTGGGGAGTAAGCATGACAACATGTGCTCAATTCCAGGAGGTGGGAGCGCACTTCTGTGGAGTCCTAGTGATATTAGTCATCTTCATACATGTCCATGGAAACGTGGATTCAGAAAGCTTTAGGAGCAAGGTCCAGTATTCTCAATTCTAGGACAGGAAATGTAGGCTCTTGGGGTCACCTCTGATACTGACAATGCTTTTCCTGACCTCCTCTTTTCTGCCAAAAGAAGACAAACTGTACAAATTAGTTTAATTAAGCAGTTCAAGAAATGATATGTTCTGATTTGGTGGAGTACATATAAGACACCTTTTGTGTTTATTCAATATCATTAGACATAACACTAGTCTCAGTGGCCCACAAAAGCCCAAGTGTTAAAGTATTGCCAATTCTTATGTTAATGGAAATTGATTAATGATTAAAGAATGAAAGGTGGAAATTTTATGCGATTATGATATCTGAGTGTTGTGCCTTTGGAAAATGCTTATATTGGATTAAAATGACGGGGTAGAGTCACCAAGATCAAAGCATGGTGGTTTTAAAAGATAGATACGGTGGGGACTGGCATTGTGGTGTGGCAGGTAAAGCCAGGCATGCACTACTGGCTAGTTAGAGTCCCGGCTGCTCCTCTTCTGATCCAGCTCTCTGCTATGGCTTGGAAAAATAGTAGAAAATGGCCCAAGTTCCTGCGTCCCTGTACCCACATGGGAGACTGGGAAGATGCTCCTGGTTCTTGCTCTGGATCAGCACAGCTCCAGCCACTGTGGGCATTTGGGGAGTGAACCAGCAGATGGAAGACCTACCTCTGTCTCTGCATCTCCTTCTTTCTCTGTGTAACTCTGACTTTCTAGTAAATAAATAAATCTTTTTTAAAAAACAAAGGCAGGTACCAGCAGAGGCAAAAGGCCTGAAATGCTCCCACAGTTCTCTCCTAGGAGCAAAAACTTTAAAGGGAGAGAGAGAGAGAGACGGAATACAGCATGCTTTCGGTCTCACTGTGCTTCCGAGCTCAGGATGAGACACTGTCTGAGTAATGATGCGCCACCATCATCAAATGCCAAAGCCACAAGCTCCTGGATTTTAGAGTGTGAGCATTCAAAACCATGAAAATAGATAAATGTTTACATATTTAAAAATTTCTTCCTACTTGTCTCAAGGATTCTTCAGTAAAGTAAGGAAAAGTTTACTAATATAATACTTCAACATTATAATTCAGTGCAATCAGACAGATGTCCAGCACTGCAGAAGTAGGAGGAGTACAATAGTGTCCATTAGTTCTATTCACTCTGTTATTTCTAAGCAAAAAAAAAAAATACAGAGAATTTGAGCCTCATGAAAGAATCTGTTGTGGATCACTCTGTTCAGGAGAAGAAAGAGCTCAGGGCTTGGATCCCTCTAAATGAATTCTTTCATCAGCTCCAGGATTTTTTATTTAGTTGAATGTAATCCTATCACTTTTTTTTATTTTTTTTTATTTTTTTTTTATTTTTTATTTTTTTTTGACAGGCAGAGTGGACAGTGAGAGAGAGAGACAGAGAGAAAGGTCTTCCTTTGCCGTTGGTTCACCCTCCAATGGCCGCCGCGGCCGGCGCGCTGCGGCCGGCGCACCGCGCTGATCCGATGGCAGGAGCCAGGAGCCAGGTGCTTTTCCTGGTCTCCCATGGGGTGCAGGGCCCAAGCACCTGGGCCATCCTCCACTGCACTCCCTGGCCACAGCAGAGGGCTGGCCTGGAAGAGGGGCAACCGGGACAGAATCCGGCGCCCCGACCGGGACTAGAACCCGGTGTGCCGGCGCCGCTAGGCGGAGGATTAGCCTAGTGAGCCGCGGCGCCGGCCTAATCCTATCACTTTTAAAACCCATCTTCACTGGTGTAAGCAATAAGTGAAGTGGGCCCAGAATTGATGTGGGACACTGGGTTACACACTGCAGCCTAAGGCTTCCCCTGGGAGGTCTCCAGCTTCCTCTCACAGTGAAGAGATTCTGTGAGTGCCTACTTCAGGAAGCTCCATTGCATTGCAATGTCATGGTGCCATCAGTATTGCCCTTTCATGCTCTCCTGAAATACTCAATTCTAATATTTAACCCCAAGATCCATCCTGGTTTTCATGGTAGCTATATAAATGGTGGAGCACAATGAATGGCAGCAAAACATAACACAGTTTCGGTGCAGGGGAAAAGACCCTGAGAAAATAGTTCTTTCTTGGAACTAATGGTAATTTGTAGGTCAGTTAAACCTGGCCCTTTCTACTGAAGCTCACCTGGACTGGCACTAAGAGATTGGCTGGGACCCTTGGAGGCCCAGTTAACAACGTCTAGTCCAAAGGCAGCCCTCCCTGTACAGAACTCACCTGCATAGCAGTAAAGGGGGAGGGCAGCAAGCAGGAGGACCATAACCACCTTCATGTTGAGACTGCTGTGTTTGGCTCTTCCCTGTAGGTGACAGGAATCAAGGAAGTCACTCTGGAGGACAGCACCCAGAATTGCTCTATTTATTCCCCAGTGGTCACTCAGCCCCTCCCACGAATGAAAGAATGTTTCATGGCATTGGACAAAAAATAGCCTCCCCAAATGGAACCCAGCCAGTCTAATCTGTTTGTAGAGACCTGGAGAGAGCAAATTTGGACTCAGGACAACATTTAGACTGTCATCGTGACACTTCCTTTGGGAAAATGAAGTCGGAATGTTTTTTAAAATAAGTAAAACACAGCAGTGTGTTGTCCTGTGTTAGCATTTTTATTATTAATTTGGAATTCAAATGATTCTCCTTCTCTTCTCTCCATTTCTATTCTCGTAACAATTGGCTTTCACTTCTACCTCTCCTTATTCTTCATAGGAAACAAATCTGTAACCTGTATGTCTGGTATCCTTTAATGAGACAGCAGAAATGGTTGCAAGAATGTAAAATTCCAAAAAAGGCAACTTCCGTTTTAATAGTGTTAAAATGCTAAGAAATGCTCACTGAAATATGAATGGAAAGCAACTCTATAGCGCCACTGAGTGGCAGGGACTGCGGGTTCTTTAATATGTACTACAGCAATCCCTTAGGGAGCGTGACCATTCAATTTACTTGCTATGGTGCATCTTGCAGGGTGAAAGGCGACATGAAATGCACCTCATGGTCCTGAGAAAGATGCAGTGTGGAGCTAACTCCCTGTGAGTCGATCTCATTCTTTCTCCAAGTTTCAGGAAGTGTAGTACAGAGATAATTCAACTTCCCTGGGACACTGCTACTAAGTAGCTGACCCAGAATATGCAGTGCAGTGTTCTTGCTCTATAGACCTATATGTGACTTGTCTTACTTCATGGTTATGACCACCAGGTACATACATGATGCCTCAGATGGATCTTTGTGACTTTGATTTTCACACTTGTGCTACATGAACTCCTTGTTTGTATCTGCAGAAGTCCCATAGATTTTTGCTTCAGAACACTGATCCCTATACACTCCCTTCATCCAAAGGCACCACTCCTTGGTCTCTTTCTTATTTCCTCCACCTCTGTTTATCCCCTCATTCACAGGACCCCTGGCTCTGAGAGTAACCCTCACTCAACATCTCCAAGATCCTGATCACTGGCCTCTTCAAACTATTTCTGACGCCTTGAGGATGCAGGCCTTGGACTCTCCTTTGTTTAAAAAAGTCATAAAATAGTGACTAAGAATAATTGTGGCATCAATTGGGGGAGTAAAAATTAGCTTAACAAAAACTTTGCTGATTATGTTGCATGCTTTCTTCCTAGGTTTATTGAGAAACAAGACCTCATTTATATATAAAGCCTTAGTAAAGACAAACATCACAGTACACTCTAAAACCAGGCATCAGCTTAACAGATTAACATCTTGGGTCATCTCCCAGCCACATTTCATTTTCTGACTGAAAATGTGGGTGTCTTGTATGAAAGACGAAGGTGAATGGAGAATTCAGTTGAGCCCTTTTCATGCTGGGCCTCATTCATTTCAGGTCTCCTTGTCTACCAGTGATCTTACCTTACGTGCCAATCCAGATCTATCTAATGTCTTGGGATCACTACCAGATTAGGAAGCAAGCCAAGGTCAGGAGCAAGGCACTGACTAATCCTTCTTCACTACTTCAGAAATACCTAAACTTTACAAAGCTTGACCTTATGTGATATGTGCACTCAAATATTTGTTGTACTTATGTATTTAATCCTTATATCCTTATTAAAGTGATTTGGTTCATTAGATATATTACATCAACCTGTTCAGCAAGGCGTGAATAATATGTTATTCCAATTCCATGCCAATTTTTTCCTGTTGTTCATACTCTTCCACATTTGTGGGCTGCTTCTTCTCCTTAGGACATAAGAAGTGGTATAAGGGGCAGTTGACATGAGCATTTGCTCTGCTAAAGTAGTTCTGCTCAGTGCGTTCCTTCAATCTACCCAGGAAGGTAGTAATTTCTGTTCCAAAACCATTGGAGTCTGCAATGATGACATAAGGCTTGGAGTGAAATGAATCTGAAAGTGCTTCTGCACTTTCAAACCTCGCAGTCTGATCTTAAGCTCTCATTAGTGTTTTGGTCTTTACTGTGCTGTCTGTTCTTCCTCTTCTTACTTGCTGTTCGTCTTTCACAAGGGGCTTTTTGTTTGGACAAAATTTACTAATAATATCAAATCACCACTAAAAAACTTTCTAAAAATTTTAACGGCAATTCCATTTATTCAATTTCAGAAATTGGCTCTGGTATAAATTTATGAATTTCTTTTTCCTTATTTCATTTGTGGCTACTTAGAATGTTCCTTCCACTTCTTCAAAGGTTGCTCAGAATCAGTGGAGTACCTAGTTCTTTAGCGCAGGAATTACTGATCAGTGAGTGAGGTTGACATTTGTGCCCTGGAGGATGTAGATTCGAATCCTGGCAAGAATATCTGCTCATGATGGCTTTGTGCAAGTGACAGTGCTTGTGCCATGGAGCTTTCTTCAATTCTTTTTAAAATGTATTAATAAAATCATACTGATGTTCCAGAGCTGTAAAATGCTCTGGATGAAGTTTCTATCATGTGATCAAATATGAAAATTTAATGAATTATTAAATGTTTGTGGAAGTAGCTTCTGGGAGCTTTGGGATCCACAAGGAGGGAAGGCCTACACTTCTGGGAATGGGGAGTCCCTACCTGTACTTCCAGGGAAGAAAAGTCATTGCCAAGGTCCCCGTGGATGCCTAAAGGATCAGACCCGCCTCAACCTTTAATCCCCATGCCCTGAATCTATAAAAGGATTCCTCCCAATCTCTGACGTGCGACTTCCCCAGCCCCCGCTCTGTTGGGACCGGGGAACCTCGCCCAGGAGCAGAATCCCAATAAAAGCTTGTGAATTAATTGATTCGTCTGCTTGGGAAGACCTGTTACGCGCTGGACACCTTGCAGCTTCTATCCATGCACCATTCATCCATACATCCATCCAGTGCTAACAATACTCATGGAGCCTTTCCTGCACATTGACCTATGCCCTGTTCTGCTGATTCTGTTTAGGAATAAATGAGAGACAGAACTTTGCTTTGTATACATAGAAAATTCCATAGCTGAGAAAAACTTCTAAGATCAATCCCATTCACAACAGCTAGAAAAACCATCAAATACCTTGGAATAAACCTAACCAAGGATGTCAAAGATCTCTACAATGAGAAGCACAAAACCTTAAAGAAAGAAATAGAAGAGGATACAAAAACTGAAAAATCTTCCATGCTCATGGATTGGAAGAATCAATATCATCAAAATGTCCATTCTCCCAAAAGCAGTGACAAGATTCAATATGATAGAAATCAAAATACCAAAGACATTCTTCTCATACCTGGAAAAAGTGATGCTGAAATTCATATGGACGAACACAGGAGACCTTGAATAGCAAAAGCAATCTTGCAGAACAGAAACAAAGCCAGAGGCAGGTTTCTCAAAACAGCATCGTACTGGTACAGAAACAGATGGATAGACCAATAGAACAGAATAGAAACACCAGAAATCAACCTAAACATCTACAGCCAACTTATATTTATATAAGTTTATATAACTTATATTTGATCAAGGATGGATCTTAAACCAATTCCTGGAGCAAGGACAGTCTATTCAATAAATGGTGCTGGGAAAACTGGATTTCCACATGCAGAAGCATGTAGTAAGACCCCTACTTTACACCTTACACAAAAATCCATTCAGCATAGATTAAAGATCTAAGCCTGTGACCCAACACCATCAAATTATTAGAGAACATCAGAGAAACCTTGCAAAATATAGGCACAGGCAAAGACTTCTTAGAAAAGATCCCGGAGGCACAGGCAGTCAAAGTCAAAATTAACATTTGGGATTGCATCAAATTGAGAAGTTTCTGTACTGCAAAAGGAACAGTCAGGAAAGTGAAGACGCAACCAACAGAATGGGAAAAATATTTGCAAATTATGCAACTGATAAAGGATTCACAGCCAGAATCCACAAAGAGATCAAGACACTCCACAACATCGAAACAAAAAAAAACCCACTTAAGAGATGAGCCAAGGATCTCAATAGACATTTTTCAAAAGAGGATATCCAAATGGCCAACAGACACATGAAAAAATGCTCAGGATCTCTAGCAAGCAGGGAAATTCAAATCAAAGCCACAATGAGGTCTCACCTCACTCCGAATAGAATGGCTTACATATGGAAATCAACTAACTACAGATGCTGTAAGGATTTGGGGAGATAGGCATACTAATCCACCTTCGGTGGGAATGCAAACTGGTAAATCCACTATGGTAGACAGTTTGGAGATTCTTCAGAAACCTGAATATAGGCCTACCAAAGGACCCAGCCATCCCATTCTTTGGAATTTATCCAGAGGAAATTAAATAATCAAATAAAACAGCTGTCTGCACCTCGTTGTTTATTGCAGTTTAATTCACAATATCTAAGATGTGTAACATATGAGACTGAACAAATATCACATGTTCTCCCTGATCACATAAACTAGACCAGTGTCTGCTATTAATAACTGACAGAATTAAAAAGCAGAGAATGATCCAACATGGGAAGTGGGATACACAGTAGACTCATAAAATGGCAGATGCCCTAAACAGCCCCCAGGCCTCCGAATCAGCCCTTAAGGCATTCAGATCCAGCTAAAAAACCCCATGAGAGTTTCATAGGCATGGAAAGCAAAGACACTGTGGCCAGGAAATTATGTAAATGAAAGATCTCTGTGAGTGAGATCCCAATGCATAAGAACGGGCCATCAAAGAAGGAGGTACCTTTCTCTGAAGGAAGGAGAGAACTTCTGCTTTGATTATGGCCTTGTCTTAATAAGGTCGGAGTTTGTGAACTCAAGAGGCTTCCATAGTCTTGGCAGCTCATGACAAGAGCCTCCGGTGATTACTGACATCATAAATAAGAATGCCAATTGTTAAATCAACAACGGGAGTCACCATGCACTTAATCCCCAGGTAGGATCTCTGTCTTTAATGTGTTGTACTATGTGAATTAATGGCATAACAAGTACTCAATCAGTATTTTATACTTTGTGTCTGTGTAGGTGCAAACTGTTGAAATCTTTACTTAGTATATACTAAGTCGATCTTCTGTATATAAAGATAATTAAAATTGAATCTTAATTAAAAAAGAGAAGATGCCAAAATGTGCACAAGAGAAATCTCAAACCACATTCTGGGCAAATCCAATTAGAGTCACTCCAGACTTCTCATCAGAAACCCTATAGGTAAGGAGAGAATGGCGAGATATATTCCAAGTCTTCAGAAAAAAAAAAAAAAACACACACAAACACACACACACACACACACACACAAAAAAAAAAAAAACTGTCAACCCAGAATATTGTACCCTGCAAAGCACTCATTTATGAATGTAGGAGAAATAAATATCTTTCACAACAAGCAGTAACTGAAAGAATTCTTAGCCAGTCATTCAGCCCTACAAAAGATGCTCAAGGATGTGCCACACACAGAACATCACAATGAAAGACAAAAGCAGAAAATTACCCAATAATATCACAAAGAAAGCCGAAAAAGCAAATTATGACTATCCACAGAAACATGACAGTGCAAAGTCAGTACTCAACAATAGTCACCCTGAATGAAAATGGTCTCAACTCCTCAGTTAAAAGACAGAGACTGGTTGAATGGATTAAAAAAGAAAACCCATCTATTTGCTGCCTTCAAGAAACACATCTTACCAACAAAGATGCACATAGACTGAGAGTGAAAGCATGGAAAAAGGCAATCCATGCCAACAGAAACCAAAAAGAGTAGGGTAGCCATCCTAACATCAGACAAAATAGATTTTAACACAGAAACTATTAAACAGAATAAAGAAGGGCATTATATAATGATAAAAGGATAAATCAACAGAAAGATGTAACCATTATAAATGTATATGTAGCTAATTACAGGTCACTTGGCTATATAAAAGAAATGATAATGCATTTAAAGGGAGATAGACTCAAATGCAACACTAATTGGGGATGTAATTACCCCACTGTCAGCATTAAACAGATAAATCAGACAGAAAATCAACAAGGAAACAACAACGTAAAACAACACTATAGATCACATAGACCTTGTAGATATCTACAGAGCATTTCACCCCACAACCAAGGAATACACAATTTCTCCCAAGTAAGTGGAACATTCTCTAGGATCAAGCAAATGCTAGGCCACAAAGCAAGTCTCAGCAAATTCAAAAAAATTGAAATCATACCATGCAACTTCTTGGAACACAATACAATAAAACTGGAAATCAGGAGCTCAGGAACATTTAGAACATATGCAAACAATGGAGACTAAGCAACATGCACCTGAATGAACAGTTGGTCATATAAAAAATCAAAATAAATTTAAAAATTTCTGGAAAGAAATGAAGACTACAATACGACATATCAAAGCTTATGGGTTATAGCAAAAGCAGTGTTGAGAGAAAGTTTATAGCAGTTGATGCCTACATCTAGTAATTGGAAAGGCACCAAATCAATAAGCCATCAATGTACCTCAAGGATCTAGAAAACAACAACAAACCAAACACAAAACGAGTAGGAGAAAAGAAATAATTAAAATTAGAGAAGAAATCAACAACATTGAAGCCAAAAGCATAATACAAAAGATCAGCAAAAAGAAGAGTTGGTTTTTTGAAAAAATAAACAAAATTGACAAACCATTGACCCAACTAACCTAAAAAGGAGAGAGAAGACCCAAATTAGTAAAATAAAAGATGAAAAGGAAATGAAACAACAGAACCCACAGAAATAAAAAAAAATCAGATTACTACAAAGAGCTTCATGCCAACAAACTGGGAAACCTCGAAATAATGGATAGA